ACTAGAGGTCTGGTGCATGAAATTCATGTACTGGGGGCGGGGGGGAGATGTCTCTCAGCCCAGCCTGCACCATCTCCAATCTGGGACCCCTGTGGGATTGCGCCTAAACTGGCAATCGAACATCCCTCTCACAATCTGGGATTGCTGGCTCCCAACCGCTTGCCAGCCTGCCTTCCTGATTGCCCCTAACTGCTTCTGCCTGCCAGCCTAACCACCCCCTAACCACTCCACTGCCAGCCTGATTGAGGCCTAACTGCTCCCCTGATGGCCCGATCGCCCCCAACTGCCCTCCCTTGCTGGCCCAGTCACCCCCAACTGCCCTCCTCTGCTGGCCTTGTTGCTACTAACTGCCCTCCCCTGCCAGCCTGGTTGCCCCCAACTGCCCTCCTCTGCCGACCTAGTTGCCCCCAACTGCCATCCACTGTCAGCCCGGTTGCCCCTAACTGCCCTCCCCAGCTGGCCTGGTTACCCCTAACTGCCCTCCCCTGCTGCCCTGGTCACCCCTAGCTGCCATCCCCTGCAGCCTGGTTGCCCCTAACTGCCCTCCTCTGCTGGCCTGCTCACCCAAAACTGCCCTTCCCTGCTGGTCTGATCACCCACAACTGCCGTCTCCTGCTGGCCATCTTGTGGTTGCCATCTTGTAACCACATGAGGGCAGCCATCTTATGTGAGGGCATAATGGTTAATTTGCATATTACCTCTTTATTATATAGGGCAACTAGAGATCCAGTGCATGAAATTCATGCTCTTGGGGTGTCTCAGCCCAGCCTGCACCCTCTCATATTTCGGGAGCCCTCAGGGGATGTCCATGGGGAGAGAGCCTATGCCATCAGTCAGACATCCTTAGTTCTGCATGGAGGCAGGAGGGGCTCCTGCCACTGCCATTGCACTCGCCAGCCATGAGCTTGGCTTCTGGCTGAGCAGCATTCCTCCTATGGGAGCACACTGACCACCAGGGGGCAGCTCCTGCATTGAGTGTCTGCCCCCTGGTGGTCATTGTTCATCATAGCAACTGGTTGTTCTGCCGTTAGGCTGAAACTGGCTCTCCAACATCACCCATGAGGTCCCAGGTTGCGAGAGGGCACAGGCCATGCAGAGAGACCCCACTAGTACACAATCTGGGCTGGGAGGGGAGGGACGGGGGAGGTTGGCCAGCTGGGGAGGGACTGTGAGAGGGCTCCAGGGCATGTATGGCCCATTTTGCTCAGTCCCGATCAGCTGGATCCCAGCAGCAAGCTAACTTACTAGTTGGAGTATATGTCCCCTGATGGTCAGTACACATCATAGTGACTGGTCAGCTGGTTGACTGTCTGCACCCTGGTGGTCAGTGCAAATCATAGCAAGTGGTTGAGTGGCCTTAGCATATCATTAGCATGTTACACTTTGATTGGTTGAACAGCCAACTGGACACCAGACATTTAGCATGTTAGGATTTTATTATAAAGGATGCTTAGACTAGTGCCTCACACATATGCAAGAGGAGCTGAGGAAGTAATTTTTGTTAAATTTTATACATGTCAGTTTGACAATGTATTGAAATTTTCATGCATTCTGACCTACAATTCCATTTCTATAAACTTATTATAAGGAAACAGTTATAGATGCACATACAGCTTTATATATAGAATGTTTCAACAAAGTACTATTACAGTAAACAAATTATTATAAATAAACTAAATTTTAAAAAATTATGTAATTTGTACATTTGATAATGGTACATTCATACAACAGACTGAGACACCAATAAGAATTCTGTCCAATATTATCCAAATAGTCAGTGGTGGAGTCAATATTTAGATTCCGACCCGTCTAATTCAATATACAATACATTTCTAACTATGTACAGACACTTTATGGTGAGTTAAGGCTAGAAAAGAAAAAAAAGTAAAGTAGAGACCAAATCAGTAACCACAATTAGATATAAACAGGCCTATACGATAGACTATATCAATAAGATGAAAGTTAAACAGGCATATACACTGAGTGGCCAGATTTTTATGATCTCTGAATGAATAATAATCTGGCTACTCAGTATACTTCTCTTAAGTATCTCATTTATTTGATATCTTTGATACCTGATTAGTTTCCATTTTTGCACTGGCTGATAGAAAGCTCAGGGCAAATAGGTGGCTGATCTCCAGCAAAAGTCTGAAATACTTTTGGTACCCATTTGAGATACAAATACTTAGTGGCCATATTATTATGTGTTCAGAGATCATAATAATCTGGCCACTTGTATACATACCTGCAACGGAATCCCAAAAGTCTGTATGCATAAGTACAATTTGGGAAAATATATACCTTACGAGTAGGCCATATAAAAAAAATAATAAATTTTAAGAACTACAGTACTCGCTGCAAGAACCTCTGAGAGGGCACCTTTCTCTCAGTGGTGCTTGCAGCGAGTACCAAAGGACACTGTGAAACACTGAGGCTCAGGAGCCACATAGGGCGGGGCTGAGGGAAGCCAAGGCTATAGGCTCCACCCTGAAACTACATCCAAGCAGAACACAGAGACTTTTAATGCTACCAACTCAGGGAAGCTGTAGAAATGCAGAGATAAGGCAAAAGATCACAAACAAAAGAAATGGAGGACAAAAAGTGACTGGATATAGAGTTCAAATCTACGCTTATAAGGTTTTTCAAGAATTTCCTAGAAAAGGTCGATAAGACCTATGAGGATATGAAAAGGGATCAACTAGAATTAATAAGGAATCAACAAGAAATAATAAGGGATCAACAAGAAATAAACAATACATTGTCTGAAATAAAAAATATTATATAGAGTACTAAAAACAGAATGGAAGATGCAAGAATCAAGTCAAAGATTTGGAACATAAAGAGCCACAAGACACTCCTCCGCAGAAGCAAGAAGACAAGAGAATCCAGAAAGTTGAAGATAATGTAAGAAACCTCTCGGACAACTTCAAGCAAACCAACATCAGAATTATGGGGGTCCCAGAAGATGAGAGAGAGCAAGATATCAAAAACATACTGAAAGAAATAGTGACAGAAAACTTCCCCCACCTGGTGAAAGAATTAGACTTACAAGTCCAGGAAGTGCACAGAACCCCAAACAAAAGGCATCCAAAGAAGACCACACCAAGACAAATCATAATTAAAATTCCAAGAGCAAAAGACAAAGAGAGTATTAAAAGCAGCAAGAGAAAAGCAGGTAGTTACCTATAAAGGAGCACCTATACGATTGTCAGCTGATTTCTCAACAGAAACCATGCAGGTCAGATGGGAATGGCAAGAAATATTCAAGGTGATGAATAGTAAGAACCTACAGCCAAAAATAATCTATCCAGCAAAGCTATCACTCAGAATCAAAGGCCAGATAAAGAGCTTCACTAATAAAATAAAAAAAGCTAAAGGAGTTCATCACCACCAAACCAGAATTATATGAACTGCTGAAGGGGGGGGGGGGGGTTCTTTCGGAAGAGAAAGTAAATAAAGATAAAAATTATGAACAACAAATACGTAAATATCAACAAGTGAATCTAAAAACCAAGGAAATTAAAAATAAAAAATCTGATGAACAATATTAACTGGTGAATATAATAGAATCAGAAGTATGGAAGGGGAGTGAACTGATGATTCTTGGGGAAAAGGGGAGAGGGGGGTGTGGGAAGAGACTGAACATAAACTGTGCACCTATGGATGAGGACAATGGGGGGTGGGGAAAGGGCAGAGGGTGGGGTGGGAACCTGGTGGAGAAGAGCAATGGAGGGGGGGGGGGAAGAGGAACATTTGTAATAATATGAACAATAAAGATTTATTAAAAAACAAAGAACTACAAATTCACTATGTCATGGTCAAAGGTAATTTTGTTTAATTTTATACATGAGATTGATTGTGAGGACAAAGACAAAAATATATGTAAAAGTGAATGTGATCTTAGGCAGCTTCAATATAAATATATTATGTATATTTATATTGAAATATAAATATAGAAATCAGAGTCTGACTTAATTGAGCAGTGGTCAAAATATTTACACCTGAGGAAAATGCTAACCATCCCAAATATGCATGGCAGAGAATAATCAAGAGAGTAAAGGAACTGCCCAGCTGGCATAGTTCAGTGATTGAGCATTGACCTATGAACTAGCATGTCATGGTTTGATTCCTGGTCAGGGGCATTGTGGGTTTGTGGGTTTGATCCCCAGTATGGGGCATGTAGGAGCAGCCAATCAATGTTTCTCTCTCATGATTAATGTTCCTGTCTCTCTTTCATTCTCTCTTCTTTTCTGAAATCAATAAAAAATATATATTTTTTAATAAACGAAGGAACTAAAAGCTATGGACATACGAAGAAAGGTGAAAGCTACTAATATACTTATCCAGGAAGCAAAAGTAGTTAATATCTGAAGAGTTGTTTGGTGGAAGAGAGATGAGAATTTTCCTGAATGATACCAATATAATAGATACAGGGCAAATGGGCAGAACTTATTATGACAAAGGTTTGCCTGACCTATGGAAGGACCTCAAATTGAATGAGGAGCTGCCAGCAAATTGAATGGATTCCTTAGGTTCCTTAATCCAGAGTTATATTCATGTAGAAGATAAATGGTCGCTTAGTGTACCTATTGTATCTTAGTAACATACAGAAGGCTGAACTATAAAACATATAAAGTCACTTTCAAAAATGAGATTTTAATGAGTTTCTTAAACTAAAGCTTCCAAATACCTGTATACATTTTCAAGAAAGAAAAACCAGACAGCTTAAAAGTACTAAGACCTTGTACTACTCATTGATTATTCATTGAGAAAAATCACCAATTGTTTTCCCTTAGAATGAGGATACTAGAGTTTTGAGTTAAATATAATACAGTGTTTATTTTAAGACACCTTATAACTGTTTCTCTCAACTTATAAAATGTGTTTAACAAATATTTCAAAGATATTTTTATGAGTAGAGGTAACAACAACATAATAAAAATTCATTGAAACATATTTGTATTATAAAAAAAATTCACAAACATTTATACACAAGTTACCTGCTCTGGTTTCATTAGCTGCTTTTTGGATTCCTCTTCTTTGGCTGCATGCACACTTATAGATGCAAATATCAGCCCTGCAGGCATGATTGTCAGCTTTCGCATCTGAGAAAGATACACACAATAAAGAATATATATGTATAACATTTATTTTTATTGTTGATAGTATTACAGATGTCCCCCATTTCCTGCCCTTTGCACCTCTCCACTGGGGTCCTGCAACCCTCCAGGCATTCACTACACTATTGTCTGTGCCCATGAATTACACATATACGTTCTTTGGTTAAATTTCTTCCCACAGCCCCTCTCCTCTTCCCTCTAAGAGTGGTCAGTCTGTTGCATGCTTCCACGTCTCTGGACCTATTTTGTTAATTAGATTACACATATAGTGTAATCTAATTACACTATACATATAAGTGAGATCATGTGATACTTGTTTTTCTCTGACTGGCTTATTTCACTTAGCATAATAATCTCCAGATCCATCCATGTTGTCACAGTGGGTAAGAGATCCTTTTTTTATAGCTGCATAGTATTCTATTGTGTAAATATACTATAACTTTTTTATCCATTCATCTACTGATGGGCACTTAGGCTGTTTCCAGATCTTAGCTATTGTACATAATGCTGCTATGAACATAGGGGTGCTTGAAAAGTTTCCCATCTTCAATTTCCTAATAAATTTTGTGGGCATCTGTGGAACACTATGGCTTTCATTAAAACATTGAAAACTGAAGCATTACAAATTACCTCTTCAAACATTTTTAGGATATAATTCCTAAACTTATCTTCTCATACTAGATGGTAGAGTATTATTTTTAACAATAAGTTAACTGCCTACTTCATATGGAACATAGCAACATACAATAATTACTAGGAAGAAATGAATATAAAACTTGAGGGATGAAGTGGGATAGATCATGGTATTCGTTCAGTCCACAAATATTAACTGAGTAACTACTGTGTGCCAGACCGGGGTCTCAGTGCTTAGGATACATCAGTGAACTAAACAAAGATCCTTGCTCTCCTGCAGCTGACATTCTCATAGAGCAGAGTCAGATAATAAACACAATAACTATATTATGTGAAATATAACAAACTGATAAATATTATGAAAAAATAAAGGAAAAGGTGATTTGAAGCACTAAGTAAATCAGGTTACATCTTGAAATGCAAATTTACATTACTAATTTAAAAAGTTCCCTTCCATTACAAATACCTTTCCCTTAACACTCCCAATGCATTCTTTTTTCCCCCTGGTTTCACAGAGTAGAAAGCCAACATGACCGGTGTTTTTTTTATATAACTTGATTTGAATTTAAAATACAGGAAAAGTATTGGATCTAAGAATGAAGTGTTCCAGTGTTTATTCAAGTACCAAAGTAATTTCCAAAAACTACATATTCAACAGGCCAAATGAAAAGCTTTCCAGGAAACAAATATTTTAAGATCTTGATTCTTTAGAAGCGAATGGAGACTTGCTGAAATCAATAAAGAACATCCAGAGAGAAGAGGTCTCTGGCATACATGCAAGTGTAATTGTGCAGAACTGGAAGAAATCCTGGGGAAACATTTCTAAATGTTCTCTAATAGTGTCTTTATTTCATTTCTGAAACATTTTTCAATATTTTCTGAGTGGAGTAAGGAAAGCTACAGGAACTAATTAAGTAATCCTATTTAAACTAGGTAGGACTCTAATTTAGATTGAGATTCCAGAAACACAGGGTAAAATGAAGACTCAATACTAATCAGAGAAAATTTGTTCACTTTTTCCATTTTCAAGCCTCCCACTAATACATATGGTATCACATAATGATTTAGCTAGGCCTGCCTTCCCAATACATCATTTTTTATTTTTTATATCCAGTAGGTATTTACTAATCAAATAACAAGATCTATGTCGTGTCAATAAAAATCATATTAAAACTGATGCCAGCAACAATGCTCTCCCGTGTACTTGGGAAATTTTGGTAATAAAGCCCTGAAATGATTATTTGGACAATGCCAATTCTTATAACATTTATAAACTATTTTTAAAACACCAAATTAGACCTTACTCCCTAGATATAATAAAAACACTTTTGACATATACTAATACCTGAAAAATTTTCAACACTCAAGAGTATAATCATTTTACTTTGAATAATGTAATAATAAATGTAGACTATAAAAAACTCATAGGTACTACTCGGTAATTATGATCTAGTGCTCTAGAATCTGGATTATCTGAACTGTAAGCTAAAAAAGATAATATAGTTTAAAAATGCCTTAAGTATCTTTGCTACACTTTCTACTCAGATGGACAGGGTTCATTCACCTTGACTGTTTTTTTCATATATATTTTTATTTATTACTTAAAATGAAAACTACAGGAGTGACATTGGTTCTAAAAATTATATAGGTTTCAAATGTACATTTGTATATTATACTAGCACCCCAGTGCACAAAATTCATGCACATTAAAAGGGAATTAATTAGAGGAAATATTTTAATATTGCTATCTGCCCTTTTTCTATAATAGTAGTATAAGAGATGAAAGAAAATTAGTAAAATGTATATGAAAATCTTCCTCCTGTCAGAGCCTGGGGCATGCCGCAGAAGCCAGAGTCAAGTGCCCGGGGGTGCCCCCAGCCCACCTGTGCGCACCTCAAAATCACGTGAGACCCAGACCTAGCCAGCCCCACCCCCACTGGGTGAGATCCAGACCCGGACGGCCCCACGCCTGTCAAGCCCCACCAGACAGGGGACATAGACTCAGGTCCCCCAGCTGGGCGCCAGGCAGGGGGTGCAGCCTGAGGTCCTCTATCCTGGCATCAGGGTGGGGGAATGGCCTGCGGTCCACTGAACCAATGCCAGGGCAGGGGCATGGCCTTAGGTCCCCCAGCCTGGTGCCAGGAAGGGGGCACACCTTGAGGTCCCAAATCAAGCCTCACCAGGGCGGGGGCTGTGGCCTGAGGTCCCCTACCCAGCCAGGCAGGAAGGTGCGGCCTGAGGTCCCCTGTCAAACCCCAATGGGTAGGGGGCGCAGCCTAAGGTCCCCCGCCTGAGCCCGGTGCCATGCAGCTTCAGGTCCCTGCAGATCACTCATTACGGAACCCTGCTTCTGCTAGTGGGCACAGCTATCATGTGTTATGGGAATCCTGCTTTCGCTGTGCGTGCAGCCATCTTGTGTTACAGGAACAGCCATCTTGTGATGGCATGAGGGCTAATTTACATATAACCTCTTTATTATATAGGATTGTTTCCCCTACTTCCAAACTCAAATCTTCAGTCATCATATATTTGAACTCTTTTACCCTTTTTTATCCTTCAAAGCCACTTCCCACTGGTAACAGCATACTATTATCTGTGTCTATGAGTTTTTGTTTGCTTGTTTATTTATTGCTCTCAATTATTCCATATGACTAAAATAATGTCATTCTTTAGTTTTTCTGTCTGACGTATTTCACTAAGCATGATATTCTTTTTAAAAATATATATATTTTATTGATTTTTTTACAGAGAGGAAGAGAGAGGGATAGAGAGTTAGAAACATCGATGAGAGATAATCATTGATCAGCTGCCTCTTGCACACACCCCACCGAGGATGTGCCCACAACCAAGGTATATGCCCTTGACAGGAATCAAAACCAGGACCTTTCAGTCTGCAGGCCGACGCTCTATCCACTGAGCCAAACCGGTTTCGGCAAGCATGATATTCTTAAGATCCATCCTTGTTGCAAATGGTAGTACTTCATCTTTTCTTATGGCTGAGTAGTATCCCATTGTATATACACTGAGTGGCCAGATTATTATGATCTCTGAATGCATAATAATCTGGCCACTCAGTGTATGTTCTACTTCTTTATCCAATTATCTATGAAAGGACACAATGGTTATTTACATTACATTCCTATCCTGAAACAGGAAGAACTGGAAAATCTAAATAGAAAGATCATCGGTGAAGAAATTGAAAGAACCATCAAAAACTTCCCCAAAAGTAAAAGTCCACAACCATATGGCTTTACTAGTGAAATCTACCAACCATTCAAAGAAAATTTTATACCTTTCTCTAACTTTTTTGAAAAATTAAAGAAGCTATATTTCCTATCACATTATATGAGGCCAACATATCCCTAATACCAAAACCTGGCAAGGATAACAAACACACTAAACAAACAAACAAAAAAAACTAGAGTCATATCTCTGATGAATACAGGTGCAAAAATCCTAAACAACAAAGTAAAAAATTGAATACAACAATACATTTAAAAAAATAATATATCACTTTCAAGTGGGGTTCATTCCAAGGGCACAGGGATGGTTCAACATATGCAGATCTATCAATGGATTACACCACATGAACAAAACAAAAGATAAAAATTATATGATGTTATCAACAGATGCAGAAAAAGCATGTGATAAGATACACCATCCATTTATAATTAAAACATACAACCAAAAGTGTACACAAGAAAAGTACCTCAATATAATAAAGACCATATGTGACAAGCCCTCAGCTAACATCTTACTCAATGGTGAAAGCTAAAAGCTTTTAATCGAAGATCAGAAACAAGAAAAGGATTCCCACTCCTATCACTCTTATTCAACATATTGCTAGAAATCCTAGCAAGAACAATTAAGCAAGAGAAAGAAATAACAGGTATCCAAATAGGAAAGGAAGAAATAAAATTGTCACTTTTTGCAGATGATATAATTCTTTATATAGAAAACCCTAAACACTCCACCAAAAAAATATCATAACCAATAAACAGATACAGTAAAGTAGCAGTATAGAAAATCAATGTACAAAAATCCATTACATTCCGATATACTAAAAATAAAATATCATAAAAAAATGAAAAAAAATTCCATTTTCAATTGCAACAAAAAAGAACACAATACCTAGGAATAAACTTAGCAAAGAATGTAAAGAACCTACATACTGAAAACTAAAAGGCATTATTTAAAAAGATTGGAAAAGACACAATAAAGTGGAAAGATATTCTGTGTTGATGGACTAGAAGAATCAACATAGTTAAAATGGCCAAATTATCATTTAAAGCAATCTCCATTAAAATTCCAATGATATTTTTTTTCAATAAATAGAATTTAAAAAAATCATC